AGCACTTCCTGAAAACGGTAGGCCTGGGGTAGACAACGGTTAGACCAAAGGGGAAAGCTGAGGACACATGCCCACTCTATATTGGAGTCAAAGGGATGCTGCCCAGCTTCCAGAAACACCAGCATTCCGGCCCCAGGGAGTTGCACGGGTCTCCGGCTCAGAAACAGCTGCCGCAAAATTGAGCAAATTTACCATGCAGAAACATCTCCTCACGTTGGAAGGAAATTCTAGATGAGATATAATGATGCCTACTTTGAACTACATTATTGTAATATAATCAATCACAGTGTACAAATTCTAGCTCTTATATCTTAGTCTGCTGCTTACAGTCTGCAAGATGATTTTATTTCGTAGAATATTCCACAATACATTAAATCAGGCCCTACATAAAATAATTATGACACTATCATTTTATTATTCTACCTATGACCTATTTGCACATAACCCTTCTTGCTTCTTCCTGGTTACAGGTCTATTACTAGATTATTATAAATGTATCTCTGGGAAGAAATTAGGGGAAATGGGCCTGACAACAATTTCTAGATTAAATTAGCACTGTTCAGAAATATAATTAATATTGGTGTGGTATTTTTATGATCATTATCTCATTTGATTTTCCCAACAACCTGTAGGCTAAATAATACTTTTATCATCACTGTTTCACAAATATACAATATGGGATATTTACTTATTCAAGTGTCAATATGGGATATTTATTTACTTACTCTGGAACAGCAGGTAAAACCTGGAGATAAGCATGAACGTGGCCCTCGGGTTCCCTTTCTCACAGTTCATGGAAGAGATGGGGAAAAGAGAGAAATTAGAGAAGGGAGTTAGCATGTGCCTTTATGAGGGCCAAATACACATTGCATAAGGTAGGAAACCCAGCCAAACTGGCTTAAACAACAAAAAGAATGGATTGGCTCCCATAGTAGAAAAATCCAGAAGTCCTGGTTGCTAAAAGATGTCATCATGGATCCAGTCTTTGAGGACAGCTAATATCACCTGATAGTTTTAGTTTAACCAGGTAATTTCCTTGTAGTAACAAAATAATCTAAGCAGGTTCAGGTCTCATAGGGTCCCACTGAACTGCATTGCTCTGGAGAAAAGAGTGCCTCTTCCTGAAGTTCCCTCACCTGTGACTCACCCTCTCAAAGGTAAAGGTCTATCCTTGAACCAATCTCAGCTGGGAAGATAGGCGTGGCTTGTTGTCTTAACCTAATCAGAATCCCTACACTGAAGCCAATTGTACTCAAACCCTCCTTGCTAAGAGGGAGAAGGAGAAAATGGGAATATTTTTTGGAGTTTAACAAATTATAAAACATTGTCTCTTTTAATATATAAAAACTTATGAGAGTTCTAGGCCTATCCTGGTTGACACACAATTATTTTAAAAAAGCAATAAATTATTGTAAAATGTTCTGAAGAAGGCCTTAGGCATTCGATATAGGAAACTTAAAAATTAAATTCATAGGGATTACATGAGTGACACCTGGTGCCTAAAAAGCAGAGGATTACTCAGTAACCCTGGAGAATTCAGACATTTTGAGCAGAGAAGTGTTAAGAGGTGTGAAAAAATACCAAGAATAAAAACATCCACTTAGGTTGAACACTTGCTAGGTGCTTTATATAGACATCTTCAAGAAGTACTATCCAATACAACCTCCAAGAGCATTCTGTCTCCTCAAACACTAATTTTTTCAAGCCCCTTTTTCTTCATTATTACAATAGTTTGGAGTGGTAGGACCTCCCTATCTCACAGGGTTTTGTGACAAGCAAAGGCAAGAATGTCCATAAAAGGCTTTGTTAATGTAAATGCTTACAAATGTAAGAATTATATTGCTGGGAATTTTATGTATAGTTTTTAAGATGATGTAGAGAAAAAAAATGAAGATGCATCTACCAAAAAACAGGTTCTACATTGTAACTAAATGAGTGGATGTCAATTACACATACCTCGTTCTCACCAATCCCCAATTTTCCCACTTCATCAATCTCAGATCTCTCAGATCTTCACCTAACACACTCCACATAGTACTCCCTAAAGTTTTTACACAACCTAAATAGTATACATGGATCCATATGCCTGTCTTCAGGATTAGCGAATTGGCCTCATTTGCACAAGAAACTATTAAAAACTCTCTAATCAAAGTTGAACATGTTGCCACACTTTGTTAAAGAGCTAAAGGTTCTGAAATACAATGACTGTCATCGCTTAATAGAACTGAATTTGAGAGAAAAAACTCTTACAAACCCTTCTAATTTTCTCTGTGATGCCATTTGCAAAGTTCCAGTAGACACTATCGGGTAGTTCTGCGTTAAGGATAGTGAGTGCACAAGAAGAAACAATATTTTTTAATTCCCCTTTCTTTTTCTAGAACTGAAAAAGTTAATTGAGTGAATTGCCTGAGAGTTAAGATGCCATTCTTACCATATCATCTCCATTAATGAACTCTGGCACTCATATTCTATAACAACAACCTGAACGCCAAAAACAAGTCTTTTTCATATGTAATATAAAATAGAACCGCTGTTCTGCATGCGTGTTTCTTGGTGCTTGAGATGCAAACATGTTAGTCTCCAGCTCCAAGTTGCTAGCCTTTGCTTTCAACACAGCTCAAGCTAAAATGAAATCATCTCCAAATTTATAATTACACACTTAATTCCTAGCCCTTAGAAATATTATTTTCTTAAACATGGAAATTTCAGGAATTCCTCATCAACATCTCTCTTCCTCTAACATTCCTTTGTTACTTTGTAGTATCATGAGTGTTTTTTTTTTCCACCCAGAACCACTTAAAATCATCCATTAACTCTACTTTTTAATATCTTTTAACTTATGAGAAATGCTGAAATGATTTTCCATTTAGACATCATGCTTTTCCTCTTGACATTTGAAAGCACAACTTGAACTGATATATTTATAATAATTACAAAATAAAAATTCATAGAATAATGTTAATAGCTTATATTTCTGTAGCATGTATTAAGTCTTAAACAACATTCTAGATATTTTACAGATATTGACTCATTTGGCCTATGTGTAACAATCAGAAGTAGCTCTATGATTTCCCGTTTTACACGTGGGATAAATGAGACACAAAGAAACTTGGCCAAAGTGATGCAGAGACTAAATGTCAGACTGAGATTTTCAATCTAGCAATCCGTCTCCATATTCTAGGTTGTAAACCAATCAAAGATACTCCTGTGCCCTTAAGGATGCATATTCTTGATCAGAGAAGCAGAGAAATAAGATCTCACTAAAATCTGTTCAGGAATGTAATAACTATCTTGCTTATGTGATGTTAAAGCTAATGATCCTTGTGATTTTAAATGACGCAGATTTGGTAGGGGGCAGAGTGAACACTTGTTTGTATATGAACCAATTTCTATAGTGAGAACTTAAGTATATATGATCTGCTTAATTAATTAGCAACCTTGTTCAATTTTCTGTATCACATTTAATGATGTCCACAACTGTGTGGATGAATTAAATAAGCAGCTACTGAGCTAGGACAAACATGCATACCTGAGTCAGTTTTTTGACATGAATCAAAATGGTTTTTAAGGTTAGAGTCACTTAATTCATTTGGGAATATGAGAATCCATTGATTAGAACTCTTTTGATTAAAAGCGACATAAACCCAAGTCTAGGAAAAAGGAGAGAATTTATTGAAGGATCACTTTTCCAATGGCCACAGTCTTAGGAAGAGTTGGGACCAGGGACTTCAATGCCACCAAGGTTCTCTCTTTCCCAACTCTGCTTTTCTGTTTGCTGGCTTTATTCTTCCCATAAAAACCAGCTTTTTCAACACAGTGAAAAACACAGCTGTCTAAGCTTCCATGGCTGTAAACGTCTATTTCCTATTTACAATTTGAAACATTCTAGAAAGACATTGGCCTACATTGGGTTGGATGTCCAACCCTTTATTAATTAATCGTGTCCAGGGTGTAAGGTGTGATAAATACACTGCAGAAGTAAACAAATATTTGTAGTTGGAAAGGTAGGCACTCCCCTGAAAAAAGAGGGTCTATTTTTACAAAATAAAAGAATAGTTTGTCCTGGTAGTAGTTGTCCTGGATAGGCAAAAGATTGGTGTCCACACAAAAGGGTAGGGTAAGTAAAGACATGAGTCTGCCCCTATAAAGCAGGACCAGTCAAAAAATTCCCCAAGTCTGAGGTCTGTTTACTCGTCATAAAAAGAATAAACCTGCCTATTTCACCAAACTGTGGTAACAATTGCCGGCAACGTGTGTGCTTAGTAACTTCAAAAATATTATAAAATTTCAGGGTACGCCTGTTGTTATTACTCTCTATACAGGTAACTAAATTTCTCATTTTTCACACTGATGCCTGGAGTCAGACTGACACAGCAAGTAGTTTGAACAAATTGAAGCTCATCTAACATCACAGGCTGTGATCACTCCTTCTCAAGCCATATTGCTGTCCAGCTGTGCATGGTTATTATGCCAAGTTCGTCAAGAGATATTCGAGCTTCTCGGGGAGCAGGAGTAGGGGAAGACAGAATGAGACTCAGATGGAAGGAAATAACTCAACCAAAAAAACTCTGGTTAGCCTACTTCCTAGAGAACTTCCTTCAACTTTCCAAACTCTTAGTCACTGTTCTATCTTTCAGACAATTTTCAGCTAATTAATTTCCATGTGGACAAGGATCACTGTTTCATAGGTCAGCAGTGTTTCACTCTGAAGTGAAAATCAGCAAAGAAAAGAGAGGTAAATGATAAAAGGCATCAATACTATGATGTCTATTCTAAGTTAGCACTGGGTATAGGGATTCAGTCACTGGGCGCCAATTTCACTGCTAATGAAGGATGAGTAACTGACTATAAAACCTAAGGCTTGTTATTTCTGTACCTTTCTCTTTGCATAATATCAAAGGGAAAGTCCCTAAATAATGGCAAAACATGCCACTTACATTGCTTACTGTAATTTCCTAGGCATGTTTCCATATGCCGTTTATCTAAAATGATGCACTTACAGTCTATTAGAAACATTGCTGAACATGGGAGCCTTAAGTACCTGCCTTTCTGGTTAGTTTGGTGGCCTTGGGAAAAGTCTTGCCTTCCATTTCTTCATTTGTAAATTGGGGATAATAGTATCTTTTTCAACCTGTTACCATGAGGTTTGAATGCAATGATTTATAAGTTCTCTGCAAAGTGTGACATAAACATGAAGAATTTTTCATAAGGCCTAGTGAAAATCTTAGGATCCAATGAAAATCAAGAATTTCTACGTTTAAACTTAATGAAATTTGGATTCAAACAATGCCAAGGACTTAACCCAAAGTCATGCACAGGTAGCTCAAAGTTACAGGACTTCCAGTTCTAAACCCACTTTCCTATATTGCCTCACCGATGAGCCACCAGGGGGTGGATGTCAATATCTTTTTTCTGAAAATATGTCTATTATTCCATGATTTAAGCTAGGAAAATAAAATGTAACTGAAGACATAGCATGAGCCATCCAGCAATCAGTTCTCCTAGATAATGCCTCTGATAATACATAGAACAATGGCTACATTTCTTTAGCGCATCATCTATGTCAAGCACCGGACTAAGCAATTTACATGCATTAAGTCATTTAATCCTCAGAATTGATTATTGTCCTCATCTTGCAGATGAGGAAGGTGAGGCACATGGGAATTAAGTATCCTGTCCCAAATGACTTAGCAAGTGGCAGGGTGAGTATTCCACATAGGCAAATTAGCTTATGTTTCTGTAATCCTAACCATTAAGCTAGACCATCTCCCAAGGACACCAAGCCTAGTGCACCATCTGATTCTACCTTTTAAAAATTCAAACAGGCCAGATACCATGGCTCATGCCTGTAATCCCAGCACCTTGGGAGGCTGAGGCTGGCGGATCATGAGGTCAGGACATCAAGACAATCCTGGCTAACATGGTGAAACTCTGTCTCTACTAAAAATACAAAAAATTTGCCAGGCATGGTGGCACCCACCTGTTCTCCCAGTTACTCAGGAAGCTGAGGCAGTAGAATCGCTTGAACCCGGGAGGCGGAGGTTGAAGTGAGCCGAGATGGCACCACTGCACTCCAGGCTGGGCAACAAAACAAGACTCTGCCTCAAAACAAAAAACAAAAAAACTCAAACAAAAGGAAGGTGGATTTTATCCAGAGCCTTGAACTGTCTCTCATGTATTTACAGATGTTTTCTTACCTGGCTTCATACTGCCCAGCATAGATCTCAAATATCCATCTTATCAGCCTTGATCTCAGGGATTTAAAACCATTTTGAAGGCTGCAAAGCAAAGCACTTGTCCTTCTGGCCAGCGCCACCTCCTGTCTTGCTTTGTCAGTTTTAGCAAACGTGTGTTCAGGCATAGTCAAAGGCCCTGAGCAGAGACTCGCCAGGCTCAGCACCATCCTTGCCTTTCCCATGTGGGAAGAACGCTTCTCCAGAAACAAGGTTGGTCTTGGAAGTTGACTGTTCTCTAAAGAGCAGGAGAGAGCAGCATAGGGGAGTCACACTGAAAGTGACTTCAAATTATACAAATTCAGCAAATACAGAAAGAGAAAGAAAATTGAAATCGCTGATACCACACCATGCTACACATTAGAATCACCTGACAAAACTTAAAAAAAACCTACCAAAACTTGGCCCACTCTGGAACAGCTAAACCAGAACGCTTGAGGACAGAAACTTGCTGTAAATCCTGAAGGCATTTCCTGCACTTGGCCACTGAACTTAAGATGGAAACAACTCCTCTTTGGTCTCAGTTCCCAGGGGCCTTTCACAGTGTGACCATCTCAGTGCAAAGAGTGTAAATATGCTATAAAATAATACTTAGCATATAAAATTATTATATGCTAAACATTACTGAATATATTATACATTTATAAATATATTTAGGTATATTTAGTGGTTTTTTTGGAGGGGCACAAGGAAGGACATCAGCTAGTACACGTTCAGACTCAGAGGATCCAATAGGCTTTGCTACTATATCAAGTTAGCTGAAGGATAAATAGAGGAAACGTACGTAGCACACCATCTTAAACTAAGTGGGAGGCTAGGAAACCACCTAAATACACATCTTTTTTTGTCCCCTCGTCTATTCAAGACAAGTATGGCTACTGCACATGAGTGCCCATGTGAGTTCACCATCTTTATGTGGAGAACCTACAGCTTCAGTTTGCTGCCAGTCTTTAGCCATTCTGGTCTCATGAGTCATCGCAAACTCATTGCTCTCCCTTTCCAGAGTAGTCTCACAGATGGGAGTTCCACAGCACACAGGTGGACATACCAACTCTGTAGTTTCAAAGAGCTGGTACTGTAAGAAGACCTGGTAGCTCTTGACTCAGTTCTATCTCTGTCTCTATCTCTATTTCTATCCATCTCTAAAATCAATCAACCTATCTATCTATCTATCTATCTATAGAGAGAGATACTACCAAGCAAGTAGGCTGTGAATTCCTGTGGATCTGCAATATTTTGAGGAGTGCTAGTTGCTGTGAAACTTAATCTCTAAGGGAGTTGCAATTTCGCAATTCAAATTAAAAATTGATCTAGTCTATCTTTGATGGCCATTTTGGTTGGCTCCAAGTTATTGCTATTATAAACAGTGCCACAATAAATGGAAAATGTGGCACATATACACCATGGAATACTATGCAACCATAAAAAAGGATGAATTCATATCCTTTGCAGGCACATGGATGAAGCTGGAAACCATCATTTGCAGCAAACTGACACAAGAACAGAAAACCAAACACTGCATGTTCTCACTCATAAGTGGGTGTTGAACAATGAGAATACATAGACACAAGGAGAGGAACATCACACACTGGGGCCTGTCAGGGAGTGGGAGGCTAGGGGAGGAATAGCAGGGGTAGGGGTATTGGGGAAGGATAACATTAGGAGAAATACCTAATGTAGATGACAGGGGGATGGATGCAGCAAACAACCAAGGTATGTTTATACTTGTGTAACAAACCTGCATGTTCTGCACATGTACCCCAGAACTTAAAGTATAATAATAATTTAAAAATTTTAGTTCTACCTGTTAGTTCTACTGACATTCTATCAGTGAATTTAGCCTTCATCCTGCCCAATGAGAGGTTCTGATTTAATTGGGCAAGAGCATGACAATTTAGAGATGCATGTAGCACCATCACCCTTCTCTGGGGAGCATACACAGTTGCTTTCTTCTTTGTGCCCGTTACACAGAGGCATTGGGAAAAGACCCATCAGAGTTGTAAGAGAAAAGGCGGGGCTGCAGCGGATTAAGCACTGATCTGAGTAGGGGCTTTGGTGGCCCTGCCGTTTAGGAGAACTACCTACACTTGAGCTCCTGGCCTGGGTTTTGAAAGCCCCAGCTGTCTTCAGGTTCTTACTTGTCAAAGGGCACACATAAGGATCTCAGTCCTTCACTCTCTGCAGTTACTGACTGAGGCTGGTGGCCTGAAGATGATCCCTGCTCGCTACTGGGCAAGAGGCCCTTCATAAACATCAGTTGTCAACATGAAACCAGTTTTGCTATGGGCAAAATGGTGTTTCCTTGTCCCCATATCAGCACTTGGCTAAACCAAATGTCCATAGGCCATACGAGTCTTTTTATTTATTTATCTTTCCAGAAATGAACTCAATGGGTCTGCTGAGACTGAAAGGAAAAAAAAATCATAAAAGCTATAGAGTACAAATAGTCCTGTTTTAAAAGCAGGGGGGTGGGTCCCCGCCTGGAGAACAAAGCCCCACTTTGAAGACTTAGCGATTCTAATTTGGAGCCATTTCCCACTCCCAATTCCAAATCTGCATCATTAAACCATGAAAGAGTGAAGAGTAATAATTGTGAGCACGCTGAGTATTTCTTAATGATTTTCTGTCTTATACCCAAAGCAAATAAGCCAAATGCTTACTCAAAGCCTGGGGGGGAGTAGGGTGGGACTTGGTTTTGCAATTTCTTTTTTTTTTTTTCTATAGTCTTTCTTCTTCCACTGAAAGTGTCTATAAAATTTTTAAAGGAAAGTAGGTTGCTAAAATGTACTTAATTTGCCATGATAGATTGAGTCCATGCTTCAGTGACTGTAATTGAATCTGTGACCTATTTCTTTAGTAAAGTAGAAATAGTCTCTGGGGTTTTTGTCACTACCATCTTTTAATGAAATTCAAAAAGACTGTCAAAATGTCTACACTTTTTCTACTGGTTGTTAATGTTATTACTTTACAATTTGTTACTTTTTAATTAATCTTAATAAATGTGTACACACTCTACCTGGCCATTGGAAATGCTGGGCGTTGATTCTTCACTCTCTTAAAGCCAAGCAAAATTAACAGGACAGAAAGGGCAGAGCAGCCAGGAAAATCTTCATATATATTTGGTTGTGCTTTTAAAAACTATTTTGAGGCATCAGTTTAAGGTTCTGCCCCCAAGAGGGTTGTGGAGCGTCAACAGCAAAAGGCTGAGGGGCTCTACCCCGTGGCTGTCCTCTCGGTGCCACCGCTAACTGCTCCCACTTTGCTTAAGGGCTGCAAATGTGGCAAGCCGACAGCCTGGGGGAGCAATATTTTATTGACAAAATGTAAGAGAAAATATGTTCAGCTGCTTTTAAGCAGTGGTGTAGGAGGGTGTTACAGAACCAGATGGTCTAAGTTAGTCTTTCGTTTGCCAGAGTGACAGGAAAACACTGCCTTGCTCCGCAACTGAAATGGTGGTGGCCGCTTTGCCAATGGACGGTTGGCTGTGATTCTTGGAGACAGTTGTTCCTTCAGATGCAAAGTGCCCAAGGCTCTGGGTGAGTTCTGAAATTCATCTCCTATAGCGTCTGAGGTGGGAGTGGGGATGATGCCTTCAGGTCTTCACCATGATGGTGTCAAAAGGGAAGTTTTGCAGTGGTTCTCAAACCTGGCCCCAGATCATAGCAGCACTCAAACTACTGAATCTGAAATCTAGAAATGGGGCCCAGCAATCTGTGGTCCAGCAGTAATTCTGTTGTTCATTCTTTTGTGAATCACTAGGCTAGCAAAAGGAATTAAGGTGGCTGGAGCCTGGAGATGGGGATAATGAATGGAAGATGAGTTACATTAGGGTCAGACTGAATTATCAGGAGTGCTCATGTTATCTAACGATGCTCAGGGCTTTCCTATCTCTTTGCGTGTGATAGTCCTCTGACTAGAAGGCATCATCTCCCATTTTCGGTTTACCTCTTCCCTATCGCCATTTTTAAAAATCTTAGCCATTTTCCAATGGCATTTGCAGTGTCTCTTACCCTATAGTCTTTACTGATTCCTTCAAGAGCATTTGGTATGTATCTTCACCGAAACCGCAAGGCTGTGACTTTTCATGCAGCACCGAGAGTTAGCTTTGTTTATCTAGAAAACAAATCTTTTGAGGGCAGGTGATCTGCCTGGTCATTAGTGGATGCTCCTAATGCCTATTATGATGCAGGCGACACGGGAGATGTTAAAATGACTTTAGAAATATAGGAATTTTTATTTAGTTGAATATGTAGACAGCCACCAGGGAATCTCTATTTGCTTGGAAAGTACTCCAGTTCTCCCCTTTGCCTGGTGATCAAAGTACACCTCCACTCATGAATCAGTGAATGGACCACATGGTCATAAGGTTCTAGAAACACAATGATTCAATTTGACACACACTTACTGAGTAGACTGCCAAGTTTACTGCTAAGTGCTTGAAGATAGACAAAATTCAGTCTTTGTCTTTGTAAAGCACACATTTCTAATGGGAAAAAGAACACATAATCAGATCATTTCAATGTACCATTACAGGCAGAGAGCTATGCGCAAAGATTGATTGATGTGAGCACAAAGCACAACCTCCCACAGCTCCCACTCTGGAGTTACAAAAAAGGTTTGTTGGAAAAACAAGTATGAGTTAAATCTTGAAGAATGAGAAAGAATAGCAAGGAAAAGAGATTGTAAGAGGAAGTTCTAATAAAGAGAACAGCACAAAAGCATGGAGGTGTAAACAGTGTCTTGGTAAGAGGAGAAGGGCCTCATGGATGGTAAGTACTCTGGCATTGTTAGATCGTCAATTTCTAGTCAGACACAGGTGGAAGGCTATTTTGCCAGGCAGGGAACCAGGTCATAGAGGGTTTTGTAGTCCATGCTAAGAAATTTTGGAATTTATTCTGGAAGACTTGGAAAATAACAGGAGTAGTAGTTAGGTTTGCATTTTAAATAGATCATCCTGGCTCCAATGGAAGGAGGGGTTCCAGGGGATGAGGCAGGATGGTGATGAGAGAGGACAAGATGAGCCCTGGGCATTTGCAGATTTCCCCAGGGACACAAAGTAGGATTCACTCTCAAATCAATTGGAACAATGAGTTCTTTCTCATCAGGAGGAAAACCCAAGCAGAGTACAGGTCCGAGTGAGACACAGCGGGCCTTGCTCCTAGTAAATGGAATGATAGCCAGACTGGTTTGGATGAGAATAAGCTCATCTTGTATGAGTGGCCACTCTGCCCCCACTCATTTGATTAATAAGAATTTCCAGCTTGTGGACTTGAATCTAGCAGACCATGATGGCTTGAACAGACATTCATCAATCACTCTATCTCCCCAAACCTCCAGACGGACTGACTTGGAGCCATAACTGCTCCCTCTCTCATCCAATGCCATCTATACATTGATAATTTCCTAGTACATTTCACTTGATTAACCAAATAGCCATTTTTTAATACTTTCCTGTAGCAAATGCTGGAAAGAAAAGGAGGTTTTTCACCTGCTTGTTCTTCATGCTGAGATTTAAACTACCTACAATAATAAGCACAGCATTGGTATTGCTGCTAAGTAATTTGAAGTCACAAAGGTCAGTTTGTCCCCAGAATCAGGCTCCTGAGGTCCTAGGTATGGGGAGAAAGAAAAGAAGAATCCTGAAGAATCTTATCACTCAATGGAAAACTAACACTTAAAATATTTCTTAAAGGGTTTTGTGGTTTGGAAAATACTCATCGCCTGCATTGTCCTGATGATTCATGATCAATGGGATCATAATTTGTGAGTGTTGGTGTCATCTGCAGGAATACAACATCTTGTTACAAGGGTACCAGTTGTAAGCTTCAGAATTTAAACCTAGCATGTGGATTCTACTGCCTTACTCTGCTCTTCACGTCATGCTGGAGGAGAATAACTTGACTCAGGATGGATTGAGGAAGAGAAATGGAAGAGGGCTGAGAAAAATAGTGAAGATGGAAGATTTTGTGTCAAGCGCTTTCAGAATCTCTACTCCCAAGTGGTCCATTTTCTTGGATTACTATCCAGAGATAAGATGAGAATAAAGAATAATAAAAAAAAAAAAAACCTTCATATTTAATCAGTGTGAAACCCCACTACCTATTCAAATTCTAGTTTAGCTTCAAGACTTAGCACAGACTCCTAAATTTTCTTTCACCATTAGAGCTTTCAATCACTTACTTTTCCTTAGAAACTATGGAAAGGGATGGCAGACAACCCAGCATTTAATGACATCCTGCAGTTTACTCTTAGCTGTGCTTCATCAACAATGCTCAAACCTCTGCTATACAGAAAAATCAATCCACCAGAGTGGCTGAGTCTTCCAGATAGCTGATGGTTTTCTTTCTTAGGTTCAAACATTTTTAAGAGTGTAAATATTTTGACAAGAAGCACATTTATGGTATATCTCCTACGTCTCTGTCTTTTTAAACATCATATGTTAAGCACGTTTTTGCCATCCATTATTATACTGTCTCTTATTACTGGGTATCCTTGTGCTTACTGCCCTCATAGTCTGATGTGTATTGTCTTTTATCTGTTTGTTTTTCAAATTTCTCCTCGTATTGCAGAGGCTTTCAGCCATTACTATGCCTCCAATGGAAATCTTCTTTCTTTTTTTTTTCCTTCCCTCTGGCGTGATCTTGGTTCACTGCAACCTCCACTTCCTGTATTCAAGTAATTCTTCTGCCTCAGCCGCCTGAGTAGCTGGGATTACAGGCACACGCCACCATGCCCAGCTAATTTTGTATTTTTAGTAGAGATGGGGTTTCACCATGTTGGCCAGGCTGGCCTCAAACTCCTAAGCTCAAGTGATCTACCTCCTTAAGCCTTCCAAAGTTTTAATATTACAGGTGTGATCCTCTGTGCCAGCCACTAATTGGAATCTTCTATCACCTTCCAACTCACTGTTCCTAAAGCATCATTAACTGGGAAATCAGAAAATCATGACTGTTAAACCACAGGCAAAGTGTGAGTAAATAAGTCTCCAGTCAGAGCCAGAGGAACAATTCCATTATTTGGGATGATCAAAGGTTTGATCAATGATTGAATTCATGTCTTTTGACTGTTTTTAGTTGGAGAAATTTCCTGAATAGCTGAGCTCTGAATAGGGCAAATGTTTCTGGGGTAAAACCCATCAGGTAATGTTTTTACAGTATCCAACTCAGTGCCAAGGACACAGCAGACACTGAACAAGTTACTTGGTGACTACAGTGTCTTCAACTGCAAAAAGTGTCCAATAATGACCAACAGATTCTTTGCATTACCTGCTATTTTGATTGCCCTCAACATTTCAGTCAGTGATAAAAAAATGAACATAACATAGTTTTGTGGTTGTTATGGCATCTTTGTAAACTAACTTAAATTCTCTTTAGAACATGGGTATGTGTAAGCAAAAGTGTGGTTCAACTAACTTTGAATAAATAGTGTTGCCACACCCAAAGACACAATGGATTGAGTAACCTCTAAAATTAACTGTGCTTATAAAGAAAGACGGTCATTGTTAAACTTAAAAAAAATCTTTGAATGAGTGTGCATATTATACTTAAGATTGCTCTGGTTAACGTAAAGAACAACTGAGAAAAAGAATGAAACCAAAAATATAAAATGTTAATCAAAGCTTGCATCAAACAAACTCTGTGTCAGTTTTCAGGGTTCATCCTACTGTTTTATTTCAGCTCTTTATGGAGAGAATATTGAGGAAATATCAAGAAATGGCTCCAAAAAAGAAAAATAGATGAGAGAATAATTTTTCTTGTTCTAGCTTATCACATTATTGTATCAAGTGTAGGGTATCAGTGAGATTTGCAAATTATGCCACCCAGACAAACCAATACAGTGATGAGGATGGAGACTTCTGGCTCCTGTAACCTTTGCCCAACCTCCTCTGAACCTGCTTTTTAGTATTTTAGAAGAGTTGAGAGGAACTCTAGAAACTACAGGTTTGGGCATTTGAAGTCTATCATCTGGGAAGTCTTAATGACTACATGGTTAGACTATCATATTTTTGCCCCAAGGTACTAATTGACTCTCAAAGGTAGCATTCAGCATCCATTCCTACTGAGATCTCATTATGCATGTGTAATGTGAGTAAACAATGATATTCTATTAAATTACATTCCTCCCTTTAAATTAGCCTTAATACAGAAAGGGAGGAGACAGGGTGCTTATTCTTATGAGATCAAGTAATTAATTTTGTAGGTTCTATGAAATATTGAAGGAAATCATGCAAATGAATTTGCAAACAATTAGAACAGCAACTACTCAAATATGTGCATTTATGAAAAAAAGAGGTAAAGTGAATACAGATCAGTTCATTAGTCTTATAGAGTTTCTTAATCAGGGTAAGAGTGTTGTACACATGACTGAAGTGCTTAATAAAATTTTAGACAGATGTTTATTAATTGTTAGATGTTGACTTTTATTTTTAAAATCACTTTCAGAAATTCTAACATTGTGTTCAGTTAGCATTTTAGTCCAATCTGATACCTAGAAAAAATTGTGTTCATAACCATAATACTCCCCCCTCTTTCATTTATACAGGATTTAAGGGTTTTCAACTTACTTCATGATCCAGGGACATTAAAAGCACCTCAGTTAGAAAATGCTATCTTTTTAAAAAACAAAGCTTGAAACAAACATATTTTGTGGTTAAACATTCATTAACTAGAAAATGTAACCCACACAAAAAGCACAAACCCAGAGCATGTCAGATAATAAAGGTTTATTGTAGTATCTATTATTTAAAACTAGAAGCTAAATACATAAGGGCATCTCTCTGGTTTTGTACTTCAAATATTTATACACATACTTCCAAATGCTCCAGCATTAGCATTAGGGAAATATGATTTACAAGAGGAAGTATCTGCATAATGCTTCTGTCAAGTTCTGGGTACTTTCCCCACAATCATTTGAAATCACTTGAAATTAGCCTTATCAGCATCCAGCCTTGACCCTAGGACAGGATTTCTCCTCCTTAGCACTATGGACATTTTTGGACTGAATAATTCTTTGTTGTGGCCGTGGCTGTCCTGGGCATTTCAGGATGTTTAGCAGCATCTTTAGCCTCTACCCATTTGAAGCCACTAGCATTTCTATAGGTGCCAGTAGCGTGTCTCTAGACATTGCCAGATGTCCCTGGAAGAACAGAAATCTCTGATAAAAAATAATGACTAAAGATATGACATTAGAGATCTATGCCACAATAAAGAGAGCTCCAACATGTACAGTGACTGGTAGCTTATGGCATGGGGAGGGATGACAGAAAAATAAATTAAGACATGATTAAAAGATTCCTGAATTAAAGGAAAGAAAGACTTAATTGAGAATAGAAAGGCCTATCCAGATCCTGAAAAATCACCAAGATGTAATTTGGTAATAAACGTCAAGGATTAAAACAAAACAAAACAAAGATGCTACAAAGGAGAAAAACGTTCTGCCTCAGACTTAACCAAATAAATGCTATAAGATTAATAATAATAAAAAAAGTTCTGCTATTTGGATGAGTTACCAAAATAAGGCATGCTTCTTTGCTTAAGAGGTGGAGCCCGTGACACAGGAAGAGCCTGTGTCTTGTTAGACCACTGCTCAAACTCTGGACCACAAACTCAGGCACTGATGGGGTTTTTTTACTATTGCTGGTGGATACCCCCAGTGTATTCACTCATTAGAAGTTTTTGAATGCCTATTATGTACCAGGAGCATGTCAATTACCCCACTCTCTTACCAACAATGCTTTTATATATGGCCAGAGTATCCATTTTTATCTTCAATAAATTTTCATCTTTACTAAGCTTTTATCTTCACTTGTTAGGATTGAGCAGGCTTTTGTTGGTTAATTGGGCATTCCTGTTTCTTCTTATATATTGCCTCAGTGCACATTGCCTATTTTCCTACCATTTTCTTCATTTTTAAGCTGGACTGCAATTGCTGCTTGTGAACTGTCAGATGTGTTGAGAGAATGGGCTTCTCCAGAGTGTATTTTATCTTTTGAATTTGTTTCTGGTGTTTTGCTAACCGAAGCTTTTCATTTTAACGTGGTCAAATCCTTCAGACTTCCCCTTCACAGCCTCCGGGTATCTCATCTTCCTTGGAAAGGTCTTTACATCACTCTGGGACTATGATATTCTTATACTTTTAGTATTAACATGGCTGAACTGCAACTGACGACAGGTAATTGGATGCTTCTGACCCAGTGAGCAGAAGAACCCTGGGAAAAGGATGACATTTTTTCAAAGGGCTAAAAATGTAAAACACAAAGATTATACAGACCAAACAGCAGAAAACTGAAAATCGAAGGTCTATAAGGCAACGCTTCTTGCCTACGTATAATTTGTGAACTGATAGAAAGGACAAAGAAACATACCTTAAGGTCCGTGATCAGCTATGCTGCCTTATGGTATATTACACATGTGTGTACCCACGTGTATATATACAGCACTGGAAACCTAATGATGTAAATAAGCCTTTCTACATGCCTAGAAAGAGAAGGAACTCTGGCAAAGCCCATAATTCTTTCCAATTTGGCATATTTTAAGTACCCAATACCAATATCCCATGGTCTTCATAACCAACTGGGACTCTCACATTAAACTTTTATGATTCTGAAGTTTTATAACCATTCACTCTATTCCCTTATTTCTTCAATAGTCTAGAAAAAACGCAAAATAAGAGATTTTTATAAATGACCCCTCCTGATCTCAACCCCCTACCCTACCTCCCTGGATTAAGTTTCTTTTGATTGATGGAGTTTGGTTGTCTGGATTCTGCAAGCTCAGGTGCCCCAATTTATAGCCTGTCTCCAAGCCCCACCCACTGCTGAATGACAGGAGCATTGTGACGTTGAACCTAAAGGTCTCTATTGTGACGTATGCAGCTGGTACAAAATAATTTTTGCTTTCCCTCTTGAAGGTCTTGCATACTACTGGAGGCATACTAGATATTGAATATAATCATTATGATAATGGCTAAGATTTATTAAGCATGTGTTATGTGCTTTATGGTGCTAGGAACTTACCACGTATTTCCTAATTGAATCTTCACAAAACCTTATGAAGTAGGTAAAATTATTATATTATCACTCCCCAATTTAGAGTATAAGTTAACAGAAGTCCCAAATAAAAATGACTCAAAAAGACCTTCCCAAAAAAAGAGAGAGGACCCATTTTATCCATCGTAAGAAATTCTGTGATAGGTATATATGATAAACTTGGCTACCCCAAGCAATGAATGACACATGAAAAAACAGACTCTTGTCTGCAGCTTTTCAAAATGTGAATGATTAATAATGTTCGTTTCTTACTAAATGGCTTGGAAAAGCAGTGCCCCTTCATGAGGAGATAAGGTGTACATGGAAAAGAGCAGGGAGTGGAGTTAAAGGCAGGGTAAATCACTTTAACACTTGCAAATAAGAGAATTCACCAAGGAGAGCTTGGGGGCTGTTAAGATTTTCTCTAAGACAAGGCTCACCTTACGTCACCACTGGGTATTTCCTAAGACAGGGATTCCACCCATTCCATCTTTGGACAAGCAGTATCTGCCCCAGGGTAATAAAGAAGAGTGAGAGTGATGATCCCATCTCTAGGTTTTCGTATGGACTAGAAATAACTATTGTGACATAAGAGCTTGTGAAATTTAATTCCTTCAATATTATCACTGGTTGTTGTTCTTATACTGTGCTATTTTTTCCTATACAAAAAAACAGCAAGACACTCAAAAGAAACCATTTGCTGATTTTGAGAGGCAGTAGAAAGGGTCAGGTAAGTCATGCCTTCATTTTCTATTACTACATAATGAATGGCTGCAAACTTAACACCATAAATTCATTACCTCACAGGTTTTGTGGGTCAGGAGCTTGACATGTTTTAGCTGGGTACCCTCAAAGCTGAAAACAAGATTTTGGTCATTTACATCACCACCTGGAGACGAACAACATAAATGTCCACCACCAAGCTCCTCCAGATTGTTGGAAGAATTTATCTTCTTGTGACTGTATGACTGAGGTTCCAATTTTCTTGCTAGCTGTTGGCCAGGGACTGCTTTCAGCAGCTAGAGGCTGCTCTCAGGCCCTTGCCACTTGGCCCTTTGCACAGGTAGCTTAGTACGTGACTGTTTTATCCTTCAAGGCAAGCAGAATTTCTGTTTCTTTATTTATAAAGGTCCTGGCCTTTGAACAACTCACCTGATTAGATCAGGCCCTCCATGATAATCTTTCTTGTGATTAAATCAAGATCAACTTCTTTGGGACCTTAATTACATCTGCAGAATCCCTTCACCTTTGTCATAGTAGGCAACCTGATTATGAGAGTAAAGAATGTGAACACTAGTGGGGCAAGAATTGTCGAGACCATCTCAGAATTCTGCCTACCATGCCTGTAGACCCAGAACTCCATTAGGGATTAGAGGATGCACCATGAGAAAGCAACCCAAATCCTTGAGGAATGCTGAGAGAAGGCACAAGGACATAAGGGAGGAGGTAACCTGGATTGAGACGGAAGAAACTATGTTTGCCTATCAAAGGTGCCCCTGCTGTATCTGTAATGCTTTACTAGAAGCAGAAGGAGGAAGGAGCTGCAGAAAAAGTTGAATATTTATATTTTCCATACTAAGGTTGTCTTCTATATCTGGCCACTCATCCTAAGAAGAGGAACCACATCACTGGCTGAGCCCAGTCCAGGGAGGGCAGGTTATTTCATCTTGCATTGCAACCATGATCAACTGGTAGAGTCTGCATGCAATGTCACCCTGAAAAATATTCTGAGACTGTGTTGTGGTTCAGCAAGAAAGAGTATTGTGCTTGATGAGCTATGTCTTTCATGAACTCTGGATGGTGACTGAAGGTTTGTTGAACAGTTATTGGATATTCATCACTTAGACTGTACACATCACCTGAAGACATCTCAACAAATATTAAAACGATACAAAGTGCTTAGAAATATACACTGTATAGAAAAGAGACAGGCTTTATAAGATCGTTTTGAAGACTAAGCTCTGATTTTTTTTTTTTTATCTTGCTCAAATTTCTATCTAAGGAGTCTGGGGAGTCATGCCCTACAAACCATAAATTCTCATTAGATGGGTCTTATTTAACCCTGTATATCGTAATTTACTTTCCAATCTGACTCTGGCATAACAAAGAAGAAGGTCAAAATGTTTTACCCCAAAATATATTCCCTTGCCACACCTTGAAATCGCCCTGCAAAGTCTCTTGTGGGAAAAATCCACATTCTATAGAGAATTCCCTTTCTCCTTTGTTTTCTTTCCTTCCTTTTCAGATCCAGGAGACAATCAACTAAGAGCCAGGCACCCTTTTAGATCCAGTAAGAAACATTTTACAACTTGCTGTCTCTGAAGTCTGCTGTCTGAGAGCTTTCTCTGCACAATAAAAATTGATCTCCAAAATCCTTTATCTTAACCTCAACATTTCCTTTGATCTCAGATCTTCAGATAAACTCAACCAATTGTCAACCAGAAAATATTTAAATTTACCTATAGCCTAGAAGTCCCCACTTTGAGTTGTCCCGACTTTCTGAACAAAACCAATGTATTTCTTAAATGTATTTGACTGATGTCTCATGCCTCCCTAAAATATATAAAACCAAGCTGTACTCTGACCACCTTGGGCACATATTCTTAGGATATCCTGAGGGCTGTCACAGGCCATGGTCAGTCATCTTTGGCTCAGAATAAATCTCTAAAAATATTTGACAGAGTTTGAGTCTTTTTGTCAATAGTTTCTTTGCTTCCCATCCCCAAAACTGTCACTTTTTTTTTCTACTTAAAATCTCCTATTGGGAGGTTGTTTACTTACAGACCCAATCCATACGCAATTTCTTGGGAAATACCAGGTAAATGTAAGTTAGAATGTACAGACCTCAAGGAGTGATGAAGTCATAAAACAGAAACCCTTCAATTTGAAAATAGCTTTATAAGAGTGAACAGCCTACCAACTCACCATTATGCCACCAAAGCAATATGTAAATATGTATCTTATTTTCCAATGCTTCTTAGAAGCCACAGAAAGAAGGAGATGTCCATATTAAAGAAAGGATTGATTGAATGACTTCCTGAAGAGTCGGATGAGCCACATCCCATTTAGAAGATAGAGAAATTCAGGATCATGTCTGAGTCTCTAGGCTCCACCAGACCTTCTCATTTTGACCAGAGAAAGTCTCCTCAGCATTTTAATATTGGGAACATTTGCAGTCTTTATTGGAGCCATTTCTGCTTTCCCATTCTTGGGGCTTGGCAAGAAGAAGTCACCTCATTTTTACAACTTCATGGCATTTTCCCAATCATGAAAATGCCATCATGTTTGTCACTCATACAACAAACAAAGGCAAGAAAGCAATTCCGTCTGCAGAGTAGTGCCATATGAAGCTAGATTAAAATGCTAATGGGTGAGCATGACACAGAGAAAACAGCGCACTGCTGAGGGCTAAAGAAACATGGTTTTCATCCAGAAAGGCCTTTTGCACCACAGCCTGTTCTACTCAGCTCTGTCTGAGGGGCTGGGGACAATGAAAGTAAGGCAGAAGTGGAAACCAAACTTTTATGCCTCCTAGTCCCAGTTATTATTGCTCCTTTCAACACTTTGGCTTGGTTTTTCTTGGAACGAGGTTATGTAAAGCCTGAAGAAACAGCCCCTGGCAATGCTTTCTCACAGAAATTTTCCCCCTTTTATTTCTTCCCCATCCAACCCTTTATGTAATGGAACTACTTTTGTATAGACAATAGTATGCAATTTTCTTTCGGAACTGAGCGAGGAAAGAACGCACCAAGATGAACACAGGAGCAAAACTAAACATGTACCCTTAAAATACTAAGCAGAAAGCATGTATCTGATATCCTCATCACTCCTGAGCCAAATTATTTAGTCTATAGGTATTAGATGCATCAGGACAGTTCTTCTAATCCCTGTGCTATTTATCAAATTTAGCAGCAATATATTGGTGAATTAATTTCAAAGATCTTTGGGAGAAAACAGAATTGAATCCAGTGAATTTAGGGATGAATAATATCCCTGAAATTTGGAAATAAAATGTGTTTTCATTAAGGAATTGCTTCAGAAATGAAGTAAAAGAAGATACATAAATTCCAAGCATCTCTCTTAACAGAAAGACTTGAGAAACATGTTTAAAGACACATATTAATTATCTACAGCTATTCTAAAAACAACAAACAAAATGCCTGTACATTATGCCATTGTGTGTTTATTGAGTAAGCCCAAGCCCTTAGTGTGCATTGATTCCTTGGTTGCCATGGCAGAGGGAGTGGTTTCTGTAATATGACAACAGTTGCCATATGTTCAGCTTCAAGTCAAGTGATTCCATCACAAAAAGAGAAGAGAGCAGAAGGAGCTGTGCAGCCCCACCTATTCCAAGGATCCTATTAGCAACAAGTTATCATATGAGCCTCTGTTCTGGGCCTGACAGTGAACACATGCCATAGCCATGTCCTTTATTCAAACATATTTGCAAAGGATTTTTATATGGTAGCCACTACTCCAGTATCCCAATCAGCATCTAACCCAAATACAGTCCTCTATAAGTTAAAACATGGCCTACGAAGTGATTTTTAAAAGATTTGTAGTCAAGAAGAGACACATTCTTTGGGGAGGATCGGGCAACTGGAACCACCAATGACCTTTCTTAGAGACTGGAACTTGAGACACAGAGAGGGAATGTATGGATTCTAAGATCACCGATAGAATCAAGAAGTGTTTACTTGTAGGAGATAAATCCTGAAAGAGTTCTAGAATTTGACAGTGTCTGGACCATTTGAAGCAGCATCTCAGAGGGTGAGTTGGGTATATTCTTGCCCAACTCTCTCTCCCCATAAATAATTCTGGGCTGAGTGTTTCATGGTCTGACTCATTGTGACTGTCATGTATGTGGTTATGTTGCCAATTAGGACGCCAGTGTTCCCACTGTCAGAGCACTAATGAGTGTTTCTTGAATCCAAGAGATTACTTTTTGGTATTCTTCCAAGGTCCTGTGAATAAGTTGGCTATTCACTGATAGAGAAATTTATTTTTTTCTGGAACTCTATGGTATGCATTATTAAATCCCTGCTACAGCAATCTAAATGGTCCTTGAAGGAGTCAGAGCCCTTCCAACTACAAGCAAAGGACTTTTGATGTTGAGATATGACCCTAATGGTAGTCTTCAGTAATCCTTATTTTTTTCACTATGGAAATATATAAGAATATCCAAACCAGCAGACTTAAGCTAGGCAATGTACACCATTCATGGTTTTGTCTTTATCATGGTTATATTGTGTAAAAGTTGCAGATGGCAATGCTGAGTACTTTGTACATATACACAATAATAGGGCTGTCATTCTTTTATCAAATCACCAAGTCAACCAGACAGCCCACTCCACATATGGGCAAAGGGCTTGAAGAGACACGTCACCAAAGAATTCCCAGCAGTCAAAATGTGTTTAATCTCATCCACATCCAGAAAAATGCAAATTAAAACTATAATAGGATACCACAATGCACTCACCAGATTGGTTCAAATTTAAAATTTCAGCAATATCAAGTATTAATGAAGATGTGAGACACCCAGAACTCTCTTATGCTGCTGGGAGGAACTAAAGCTGCTGCCACCACTTTGGAAAATAGTTGGGTATTATCCAATAAAACAAAAGAAATGCAAAAATTATTACCTAACAGTTACACTCCAAGATATGCGTACAATTGTGTATATACACCAATGAGGATGCTCCCAGCACCATAGCTTGTAATAGACACAGACAGAAATTTCCCAAGTGCCTGTCAATATTATTGACAATTCATCCAAAAATTCATTTATCATCATTGAAAATGAACAAACTCCAGTTACACTTAAGAATATAGTAAACTTATTCTTACACTTAAGAATACAGTATACACTACAGTAAAATATAGGGTAGGGAGAGAGTTGCTATTAAAAAGTAGGCGAGTAGTGGCCATGCAGATTTTTATGTTATGTGTACATATAAATACATGTCTAGATTTCCTTTTGTTTGGCCTGGTGACAGTATCTGAATTGTCTGCCATAATGAATGAAGTATTGAACATCTAACTGTTCTTCTCAACCACATTGTAAGCTCTTGAAGAAGAAATATATATATATGTGTGTGTAGATATATATATATATATATATATATATTTCAATTTATTCTCCAGTAAGTTATATTTCCAAGTTTAAAAAAAAGTTGAAAGAAAAATCAGTATCCAACAGGGACCTTAAGTAGAAAGAAACAATTGCTTTTGTGAAAACTTTACCAAAAATATGGAATATAATTCCAGTAAATCTCAGTAGACACATAGGAATGTAGTTTTCATTTATCTATTCCAACCCTTATTGGAACTGCTTGTTTGTCTATCTAACAATTCTTTGCGATAATGAGTGTAAGAGATACATGTAAGAAAAATTGACCGAAAGACAGTTCAGAGAGCTAAGGTTGTTTAGACGGGTAAAGAAGGAGAGAAACATTATTGTATTCTTTTTCTGTGAAGGGGCGGTAACTCGAGAGTAGAGGATCCTCATCAAACCATGTGCTTCCTCTGATGAACTCTTGTTATGATAATTATTATCACTCCAGGGATGTTGATAATTATATTTAGACAGCTTTTAAAGCAATATTGTATAATATTTTCCTCATTTAACACCAGCATCAGAGCTGATGAATACTTAGAAGAAATGCAGGGCTGCAGGTTTGTCCACAAAGTGTTCCCATCAACCGTGTAAGTGAGTTTGATAATGTATACATTATATTAGGGGGGAAACATGCTCTTTTGGAAAGGACCGATTCTGGGTGCATAATCAGTTCCCATTGAATTTAAATGACTTTTGGTCCTACACCAATGCTGATAAAATACTTTCAAATGTACAGAATATTAACCAAATGTTTATATTAAACAACTCCTTTCAGGTGAAAATGCGCTCGGCGAAGCGTAGCTCCCTGGAGCAAGTTAGTGAATATTAATGTTTAGCACATCATAAGGCTCTACAAGTCCTCCAATGTTGAAGGCCAAGGGGGAGATAAAACAGCAAGGTTGGTGGATGGGCCCTGACAGGGGAAGGTACAATCACATTGGACATAACCTCACTGAGATGGAAATGGAGCTTGAAATACATGCAACTGGGGCTGCCAGGAACTAGGAAGCAGATATGGACTGAGAGGGAGGGTACCAGGCTCTCCTGCATGTTCCCAACTCAGTCCCCCTGCAGACCTAGGCTGGTCTCAGACCTGCCCAGGGTCCCATCAGCAGAGAGATTAATAGGGCATGCTTCATAATTAATATCAGCCAATTGCCAGTTAATCACGGGCCTCAATTTCGGGTAAGTGAAGGCTGCTTATCACGAGAAGCATTGGTACTTACATTAAGTGCTACGGTATTTCAAATCTGCCAATGCACACCAGCCATTTCCAATTATCATGGTTTATCTGCCGGTTTCAGGAAATCATATAAATATGCAACTCACCCTGCACATACACATATTTCAGGGCGGAGACAGCTTTTTTCAACCAGGCTGAAGGTCAAATGAACATTCTTTGCATACCTCTTGGAGGGTAAAAGGCCAGACTGGGAAACATGAGACCCAGGGACAATGCCCAGCTCAGAATAGGACATCCGTGGTTTTTGACTAAGCTACCCCCAATCTGCACTTCTGTTCCTCCATCCATAAAATGACGATATTAATATTTCAGGTAGCCAGGGTGAAGTGCTTTGAGTAGCTTGGAAGACCCATGTTAAATAAGTGTATGATATTATTTTTTTTAGTCTTGTGTTAACAATACTTTAGAATTCAGTGCATATTCAACATTTTGTTGTTGTGATTGTAGTCTAATTTTATATTTTAGTGGCTGCTTTTAAAATTAGTAAGGTTAAATCTTATCAGATTTATTAAAGTTCCAAATGAATAATGACAAAGGGAAACCAATGTTATTATTCCCATTTTACAGATAAAAGAATGTCAGGCCTGAAAAATCTCTCTCTAGAAGATTTTATATGCATCCTATAGCCTCTGGAATGGCTCTCATATAAATCATCCTAAAATATTTATTGTTTCTACTTGTCAAAAGCTATTTTCAGAAAAGCAGAGTAAAGAATTTTCCCTAAAATTCAATTCGAATGTCTCTACTTGTATCTCATATCTGGTTTCTTTGTTTTTGTTGTTGTTGTTGTTATTGTTGTCTGTTTGTTTGAGACTGAGTCTCACTCTATAGCCCAGGCTGGAGTATAATGGCATGATCTTGGCTCACTGCAACTTCCACCTCCCAGGTTCAAGTGACCCTCCTTCTGAGTAACTGAGATTATAGGCACCCACCACTACACCTGGCTAATTTTTGAATTTTTGTAGAGAAGGGTTTTCACCATGTTGGCCAGGTTGGTCTCGAACTCCTGATCTCAGTTGATCTGTCTGCCTCAGCCTCCAAAGTGCTGGGAGTAGAGGCATGAGCCATCAGCCTTCCTCATATCTGTTGAAGACTCATAAACTTGCAGATCCTGACATCATAGGACACTGTCAAACAGTAGCTATGCTTAACACGTGAAATGACCGTTAGTACCTAGAGAAGGTAAGTGACCAGTTCAAAATCAACACAGCTAGGACCTGAGCCAGGATTACAACCTGCATTCAAGTGCCTTCCTTACGATGTTAAAATTCCTTACTATGTTAAACCCCATGGCGCTTGTTCTCAATCAAGAATCCACCCTGCCTTCATGCTTTGCTTGGTTGCAAGGCAGACACAGGACAACCTTCAGAAAATTCTGACTGAGTAGCAATGTGAAAGCTGGAGTAGAAAAACAAATGAGTGTAAGATTCTCCTTCTTCTTCAAGAGCTTACAATTTGGTTGAGAAGAAAGTTAGGTGTTCAATAGTTCATTCACTAGGGAAGACATTACAAATACTGTCACCAGGTCAAATAAAGTAAAATCCAAACATGTGGAAGTGGACTAGTGATTTCCAATGTATGTTTTGAAAAACAATCCCACAAGATTGGCCATGCATAAGTAAGTAAATAAGTAAAAGTATAAATATTTTTTATGATTAATTAAGTTTGAGGCATGATACATGTTGTAGAGTCACAAGACACAAATGCATTCAAGTGCTCTGAGATGTCCCACAGTAAAGGAACCTATTGAATAATTTCCAGTTTTGTGTTTTTGGGACTCATAAAGCCTTTTCAAGGCTTTCAATTGACTTGGCCTTTTCTTACTTCATCTGTGGAATTCTAACCTCTAACAGCACTTATAAGTGCTCTAGTTTACATGCTTCATGTCCTGGTCATTTTAAATCATTGGCTCTTAATACAGTGTCTGGCCTGTGGCTCCTTGCATCTACTTGCATATGAATACATAGCCTGCTTGGTGCTATGAGTGAGTACAGGTTCACTAAGCCATGTTCTCTGTCCTCTAGGGCAGCTCTCTCAAATGTTAGTGTCTATGTGAATCCACCTTGGGATATTAGTAAAATGAGTTTGTGATGCAGAAGACCTGAGGAAGCACCTGAAATTCTGATGTTCTATCTCCCAGGTAAAACAAATACTCCCAGCCTCAGGTTCACACTTTAAGGCCACAGTAGATATGAGTAATTTGGTTACAGTATAAGGTATATGAAGAAAGTAAAGTTTAACTAAAATGTTCTCTCACTCTAGCAAGAGACGCACACCATGAAAAGATGTAACACTTGTAACCATAGTTCAAGAACACAGTTCTGAGGGAAGATCAGGGCAGATGTGATTTATTCTGCCTGGGCAGGTAGGAAAACAGTGGAGGAGTATCTTGAAAATGTCATGGGATGGGTGATTTGAGATGAGCTTTGAACAGTGACTGGCATTTTGTCCGGCAAAAGAAGGAAGGACTTATGGAGTTAGTCAACAGCGTGAACTAAGTGGCAGAGCAAACACCACGTACTACACGTTCAAGAAGCAGTGAGGCAGGAGCACATAGTACTTAGGAAGTCAAGGAATCAAGTGTAGAAGGGATATTGGATTGAACTGTATTATGGTTTGGATGTTTGTCCCCTCCAAATATCACATTGAAATTTGATCCCCAGTGTTGGAGATGGGACCTAATGGGAGGTGTTTGGGCCATGGGGGTGGATCCCTCATTAATGACTTGGTGTGGGTCCTGTGGTAATGAGTGAATCCTTACTCCATTATTTCCTGAGAGAGCTGGGTGTTTATAAGGGCATGGCATCCCTTTCCTCTCTCTCTTGCTCCCTCTCTCACCGTGTGACACATGTGGCGTCTCTTCCCCCTCTACCATGATTGGAAACTTCCCAAGGTCCTCACCAGAAGCATATGCTGGTGCCTTGCTTCTAATACAGCCATGCAGAACCATTTTTCTTTATAAATTACCCAGCCTTGGGCCAAGAATGGTAGCTCACTTCTGTAATTGCAGCACTTTGGGAGGCTGAGGCAGGCAAATCGCAAGGTCAGGAGTTTGAGACCAGCCTAGCCAATATGGTGAAACCCTGTCTCTACCAAAAATACAAAAAATTAGCTGGGCGGGTGCCTGTAATCCCAGCTACTGGGAAGGCTGAGGCAGGAGAATCACCTGAACCCAGGAGGAGGAGGTGGCAGTGAGCCCAGATTGCACCACTGCACTCCAGCCCCTCCATCTTAAAAAAAAAAAAAAAAAATCCAGCCTCAGGTATTCTTTTATGGCAACACAGAATGAGCTAAGACAGCATTGCATTTTAAAAGTCCAAATGTTTAATGTTGGGATTCCAGAAATAATAAACTGGCAGGAAAGAAACTTTGATAGGTGGGTAGAAAGCTTCTTACTGCCCTTTCATGAAGCCATGTGGCCTGCATGGACACTATCTGCTCCTGGATTCAGCCCTGCTTTCAAATTTTAATGGGATGTCAGCGAGGTTTTCAAAATGATTGATAAGGCATAATCAACCCCTTTCCCTGGTTGAAGATTATGCTGTTTTTAAAAAGCACTTAGCATTTCAAGGGTTGTTTTATAGGCATCTGCACAAACCTATGAAGCAACAAACTTTATTTAGCAGTTATCGACAGACTACTACTGCTTACAGGGTTGTATTCTTCCATTCTGGTTCAGATTTTAGCCCAGCTGTTCTGGGATCTTTAATTTCAGAAACTGGAAAACCAGGGCTATTAATAGAGCCAGGCAGCTAATTTAAATCTGATAATGTGCTGACACTTGGCTGCATACTTCAGCACAGATGCCCGTGTGTACAATGTGTATTTATTTCTGTACAAATGTGTACATGCATATGTATAAATAACAGCAAATACTATGAAATCAACACTTATTATTTAACGGGGCCACCTGGGAGTTATCCTGTGTCTCATAAATAGAACACTCTTTGACATGTACAAATCATCTACAAGGCGACTGAAGCCTGCAGGTTTAAGGGTCAGAGTTATAAGTGGAAGGATTACAGATACACACAGTACTTCTGGATGGAAGAGAGACCCATAGAAGACCAGAACATTTTAGCTAAACTTTACTTTCTTCATATACCTTATACTGTCACCAGATTACTCACTATTGTCCATACATATTTTACAGTTTCCTTCATCTTGCTTATGTTATTCTCTCTGTGAATTAGATAAGAGTCTGGGCTTTAAAATTAGCTTTGGGTTCAAGTTCCAGTTTTGCCAAATTCCAGCTATGCGATTTGGAGCAAATTACTTACTAAATCAAGCCTGGCCTCTCATCTGTATAATGGAGACAGTCAATTTACTTACATCAAAGGGCTTTTATGAGGATCGAATGAGATAATGCAAGTGAACAGCCAGCATAATGTACAAATCTGATTCATGGTGACAGAAATCAGAATATTTGTCTGGAGTGAAGGGTCACGGGGCGTCACTTGGATAGGGACATATGGAAACTAAAGCGATAAATATTTTGTATATCTTAACGGGGGTGGTGGTTACGTAGGTGTATCCCTATGTATACAGAGGTATGATGATGATGGTGGTGGTTATTATATTCTCTCATCCCCATATCTAAGTGCTATTTAGTTTTCCAAATTCAGCTCAGGAGCCATTTTTCCACGTGACTTTCACAGTCTTCCTAATCAGAAGAGATCTTTTTTCCTTTGAATTTATTCTTACTCTTTGCATTTCTAAGATACAGTCTTCCTGGTGTTAAGATTTAGCTCATTGTAGATGTCTCTCACCTCCACTAGCTTGTTAGTTCTTTGATGAGGTGTCTCTGTGTGGTCTTGGAATCCTGCACAGTATCTAGCAGAGATCTATTTACTCTTTATCCTTCCATTAAATCATTGTGGAAAGGGTGAATTCAGTGTAACCCTACATAGAACTGCCTTGAACTCCATTCTAGTACCTCAATACATCCAAAATCCTCTCCTGGGTTTCCATAAGCACAGTTTCCTCCTGGCATTGGCTATGATTTCCATGTATGTTGACTCTGTTACCTTCATCCACACATAAAATTCTATGTGACTTTTTATAATTTACATAGGCCACATATTCACCTTAGACATATATGTGAGAAATAGACTTTACTGAAGAGGTGGGGAGCGGGGTTGCAAAGAGGTGGGACTCACGCCACAGCAATTCCAAGAGCTATGAGCAAAGCCAGCCTGTTCTCACAAGTCTCCTAGCCCCACTGCCACCAGAGCCTTTATCCAGCTCTCCAGCTTCGTGCTGCGCCCAGATTTCCACCATCACCATGTCTCTTCTCTGCTCCTCCTTGTCTTTTGTCCTCCCTCTCAGGAGCAGAAACAAATACCTCTCTTTGATGCAGCTACTTTCTTTGACGCAGCTCAGCCATTATCTTGTCTTTACCGAAGTCCTAGGCACTCCCATGCCCTCAGAGCCTCATTTTGAACCCAAGGACTTAGGGATGCTATTTTCTTACATCAAGCAGCTTCCTCCCAGCAAAAGAATTCTGGTGACAGTAGTGAAGATAATTTTCATTCCTGCTTACGGAATGACCAAACAACAGCAAAGAGGAGGAGAAGAATGAAATAATGACAACCGAAGGAAAAGACTGATGACTCCTTAAGAATGGATCTTCATAAGGGAATGAGGGCTGAGGGGTCCATTTCCTAAACTACTCACCTTATTGACTTCCTACAGCAACACCATACAGAAAGCTCCACCTTGAGGGGAAGATGTGAGAATCCTGAAGTGGCAAAATATTGGGTGATGACAGCCTTTGAGGTTGTGAGAGTAAAACAGAAGCAAATAAAGTATCATTTTTACCCTGTGAAGAAAGTTCCCTTTTAAGACTTTTGTAAATGATTAATATTTCCATTATGTTCCAGGAAAAAAAAAAGATTTGTGTTTGACTGAAAAAAGAATGTGTAGAACAGATGAGAAGGAAGAGATAGTCTAGCCACATCCAAGAGACCTGTAAATTGGGTACAGTGGTGTGAATGGTGTAACCAGTTATAAAAGAATGCTACCTGGGGAAGTCTTTGCTGTCTTCCTGAAACAGAGGAGGCGATAACCATCCCTTGGAAGCGTCCACTTCTATTGAAGATTGGGTGAATAAATCTGTGCCTACTGCAACTCCAGTCATTCCAAATTGGTCTGTACCCATTTAATTTATTAAGTCTTTAATACATAATATTGAGTACATACCATGTTCTTGACACTGAGTACAATGGAGAATGCAGTCAGGAAATGAGGCAAACTTAAAGACCAGAGGCTGTCAACCTTGACAGCATATTAGAATTATCTGGGGAAATTTTATGACCTTGATTCCTAAGTCATACTTAAGGTCAATTAGTCAGAAGCTGGGGATGGTACCTAGCCACAAGTAGTTTTTTTAATTGCAACTCAGTACTGAAAAAAAAATCAAAAACATGGGGACAAGTTAAGAGATGACTACATAGCCATTCACTGTCATGATCGAAGATTGTTTAACATGCCTGCCCAAAGACTACCTAATTCTTTACAGGAACGTACCTTTGTTTATTTTACTATTTACTAGGATATTTACTTAGGATATTACACAACTCCGTAAAAGCAGATGTTGCCTTGTAGAACAAACAGAGGCCCAAGCTTATTCAAATAGAATAGAGCTTGTGTTTCTGTAATTCTAACAAGTTCTCAGGTGACTCTGACATGTGCTGAAGTTTGACAACTATTATAAAAGTCTGATACATGCAATGCAAAAGATTCTTGTACGCTAACAATGCAAATACTTTTTTCACTAGCTGAGATGCAAATAATTTCTGTCTAATTCCAAGATTACAGGGTTTTCTTCTCCATAAAATATTAATCAATTTTGTAACTCACCTAGCAATCTTATTCCAGCATTCTTTCAGGATCTATGTCTACTTGGTCTTTCTAGTTCTCTGTGAACCAGTTGAAACTTATCCTGCTGGCTCCCTCCTTAAATGAATTAAATAACTCTTTGGCAAGTACTCACTATACATTTGTATGAGAGTCAAGCTTTCAACTTGTGAAAATTATACTTTGACACCAGGTGATACCAATATGCATCCAAGATTGAGATTCACCGCTCTAGAGAGAAGCCAAAATTCCTGGAAGGCATCCAAAGAGAAACCACTGTTTTCTCTATCCCAGGCAGAATCATGTAATTATTCTTGAAAACTTTTACAAGTCCCATCTGATAACAATAAAAATTAATATTTACTGAGTGCTTACTAGTGCCAAGCACTATTCTAAGAACTTTACATCCATGATTAAGTCTTTAGTCACTACACAACCCTGTAAACGAAGCTCTCTCATCTGCATACCAATTTCATAGATGAGAGAACTGAGGCTCAAAAGTTTAAGCAACTTGTCTATATTGACACTGCTGCTAAGTGACAGAGCTGCGGTTTACACCCAGGAAGTACTGCCTGCGCCCTTCAGGGCTAAGCCATACTATGCTTCAGGGATTGAGAAGATCTACCTTTAGAGTTATTTATCCAGATTCATGGACACTTGCAACTGGATACCTGAGTTAATGAAACATTCAAAGCCAGCCAAAATTTTATACTCTTTTTTTGTCTTTTTTTTACTTAGATTTTTATATTTTTCATTTTTATGGATACATAGTAGATGTATATATTTATGGGGTACATAATTATTTTGATACAGGCATACAGCATATAGTAATTATGTCAGGGTAAATGGGATATCCATCACCTCAATCATTTATTATTTGTTTGGGTTACAAATGATCCCATTATACTCTTTCTGTTACGTTAAAATATGCAATAAATTATTGTTGACTGTAGTCACCTTGTGCTATCGGATACTAGGTCTCATTCATTCTATCTATGTTTCTGCGCACATTAGCCATTCCTACTTTTTCCTCCTCTCCCTGCTCCCCTTCCCAGCCTCTGGTAGCCATCATTCTACCCTCTATCTCTGAGGGTTCAACTAACATTTATTTTAACAAAAATTTATACTCAAAGTTGGTTTCTTTGGCAGGGCTACCACATATCCACTTATTCTTTATCCACCCCTCATATTAGGAATCATCTTCATTAGGAAAAGTGACTAACAGCCTCACATGAGAGTTTGTAAAACCATTGGAATGTAGGTCCAATAGAAACCCTGACTGGTATCCAAGAGGAGACACTCAACGCCGTTAGAATTTGAAACTCTTGTCCTGTAGTTCTCTAGATTCCCAAAGTGCAAAAATAAAAACTTATAAATAAAAGAGAGAAATATTTTAAATTTCTTCCTAATTTAAACTCATACCCAAATTGACATTTGGGCAGGTCCATCAAAAAGCACTTGGGGAGAAATCATCTGTTCATGAAGTGCTTTTTATACCATGAGCAAAGGTCTGGATTGTAAGTAATATTGGCAAGAACAAGCTATAAGTTAAGATGCAAATCCAAATCGAGTGTGCGGTGTTCTGGCTTCAAGCCTGGTAATTGAATTTCCAGTTTATTATCCTCAATGTTTTTTAATGTGAGTTTGCAATTCAAGGCAAAATGGAAAGCTGCTCCTCCAAAGCTTTGCCCTGAAGCACTTCCCGGAACAATTTCTTTTCAGAGTCAAGAAATGGTTTTGGGTCAGGAGTGCACTTTAACTTTTCCAAACTCTAGAAAATTCTATTCTGGGGAGGCACTAAGCCATGGGTCCACTGAAGGATACTAATCTGAAGACCAGGGATTCTGGAGTCCGAACCTGGCACTGGAGCTTATTATAATAATGGAAAAGCTAAATGTTGTGAGCTGGTTAAGAAGCCATGTCTCAGCTGAGAGTTCCATGCAACATGGGCTGACACTCAGGGCCATAGAAGGTACGTGGGGAATGTTTCAAATGAAATCTGTTGCTTCAGCATATAGACTTGGTTACCCTGAACGTCCTGAGCCTTTTGGCTATAACAGCTAAGCCATACTGGGAGCACATTCACATTTCTTTTGCCTAAAACTAGCCCTGAACAAGGCTGAGGGACTATCTCTTGAAATAGTCTTCTTAAAGAAGAAAGAGATTTAAAGATGTTAGCTATCTTAATTGTAATAATAATTATGTTAATAATAATAACAAAAACAATAGCTATAAACATAACTTAATGAGGGTTTCCCATGTTGCAAGCTGTATGTGCCTTTATGCATTATTGATTATGCATTATTGTTATTCATTATTTATTTTATAATTTCACTCTCATAATAGGCTTAAAAGGTAGGTATTGCCCTCAATTTTATACAGCGAACCTGAAGTTTGGAGAGTTCAAGTAATTTTCCCCAGGTGACAGAACTAGAATGGGGCTTGGCCAGGATGCAAACCCAACTTTTTCTGCTCTGGAGCTTCTACCCTTTATTACTAGGCTAAGGGCACAAAATTCTCTAGTATCTTCTCCTCTTTAGACTGTCTACTTCCATCTTTCTTTGAACATTATTTCTATATTTGTGTTTGTGTGTGTGTGTGTTGAATGTGTGTATAGAGGAGAATGTAAAGACAAAAGGAAAACCTCCCATAAGCCTATTCCCCATCCATGTACATGGCATGATGGCATGAAAATCCAAGAGTAGGCTAGCATAAGATGAAAATTAAAAGCTTTCCCCAAGCTCTGCCCCAAAGGTAACCACTTGTATATTTCCTATGTACCCTACCAAAAAAAGTATTATACTTTCTTATATATACCTATACATAGATATGATTTTTAACAATCATTTAATATTTCATTAATTTATTTAACCAGTTCTCACATATGTTCATTTAAATTGTATCTTTTTGATATTTAAAATCTTGAGTACAATAAACACTCATATATATAGTTTGGTGATGGAATATACATTTTTTAAAAACTTCTGTCTTTATTCCCTCTAAAAGCGTTGTGTTAATCACTCTCCCACTTTCAGACCATGAGTAGTCCTCTTTACTGTAACCATTTACCTTCATCTCCATGCCACCTGATTCTCCCACCAAGGTTATGAAGTAAGTAGAGTAGGGATGTTGGTATGATTTGGATTTGTATCCTCACCCAAATCTCATGTCAATTTGTAATCCACAATATTGGAGGAGGGGGCTGGTGGGAGGTGATTGGATCATGAGGGTAGACTTCCCCCTTGCTGTTTTTGTGACAGTGAGTGAGTTCTCATGAGATCTGGGTGTTTAAAAGTGTGTAGCACCTCCCCATTCCCTCTCTTCCTCTTGCTCTGGCCATGAGAAAACATGATTCCTTCCTTTTCACCTTCTGCCATGATTGCAAGTTTCCTAAGGCCTCCCCAGCCATGCTTCCTGTACAGCCTGTGGAATCATACCACAATTAAACCTCTTTTCTTTATAAATCATCCAGCCTCAGGTACTTCTTTATAACAGTGTATGAACAGGCTAATACAGATATAATTCCTGTTTGTAGCATGAGTCAAGGCTAGAACCCAGATGTTCAAAGTACAGAACCCTTTCTTTAAACAAATTATACTTTAAAGCCTCAAAGATAAATAAAATGTCAATACCCTCTGTTTTTGCCCTTGACAGATGAAGAGAACAAATATAACTGAGCTTTGTGGTTCAGTGCTCTGGGATAAGAACTTTAACCAAGTTTAAAACCCACTAAAATACCACTTATTTAGAGTTTGGGATTGATCCATGACCTTCTATTGTTCAAAGGCATTTTCCTTTGTAATAATTCCATGGAAAGAAAAACGACTTGAACGTTGCATTTATTAAAAAGCCCAAAGGCATTTGAACATCAATTTACATTTTTCTTTTTTATAGGAAAAAAAGTAGTTAAGTGTAAATGAATGTCAAACATGTGGTTTACATTTTATTTGAGATGCATGCGAGCTTTAAAAACTAATGAAAATGCTTTAGAAAGAACACATTCCACAATATGGTAAGTTCCAGATATGTAGGAAATTTGGAGCAAGTCGACATGGCAGGTTGGGTCTTACATAAGTCCTGCAGAGAAAACAGAGGAGATCTTCAGTTCTCTCACATGAGATTTCGAAGAATGGAATGTCAGGTCTCTGGACGCAGGTTTCACCCAAGTGTAGGCCTATGATTTGAGGGGCTGGGAGACATTCCATAGTCAAGGAAGCTGTTACAATTACTCCTCAACCATTTAATGAACACCTATTCTGCGCCAAAAATAAGAG